AGTAAATTCAATACAGCAAGATATTACCATATCTTTAATTTAATTAACAAATTTTCTATTTGAGATTTTTTCAACTCTTCTCAAATTTTCATCTCGCTCGTCTCAATTTATTGACCAATGGGAGGCTGTCTATAAAATCCTGGTTTTTTCAGTCATCATTTTTTTATAATTAAAAAAAAATAAAGATGAGTAGATATTTAACCTACGCATAACACTGGAAATGTACAAACTCGTGCACTGAGATATATTGAGAAATGCCTATTATGTTGAGCACATACTGGCAGCCCGAATTCAGCTTAACTAAACAGAACCTCCAGGCGTTTCTCTTCACCACATTCAAGACGAGTGACAGTTGCAGTATTATTTGATGTTGCTTCAAGATGTAGAAATGATTGATATCTTAACAGTTGCAAACAGATACTTTTATATACTTCGGTGTTATTAATTTTACCCACTTAAACATTTCTCGCATTCTCTTCGAAATTCGCTCTATGAAATTTTTAAAACAATCGGGCTAAAAAGTGACTGGTAGAGGTAGCGATACTTTACTAATGCAGAGTTTGCACTTCGCGCAAGTCATAGCTGTATACTTACGATTATTTGTTCTGCACTGCATATTGTTCTCGCGTGGCGCTTCTGTTTTAGCTTTTCTTTCCACGTAAAAATCGCCGTTGTCAGCTGGCGCTGAAAAATGTACATCGTCGTCGCGCGCTCGCTCGCGAATAATTTTTTTTTCTTCTCACTTGCTTCGCGCGCATTAGCAACACTAATTGAGATGGATGCTAATGTTTCTTCGCTGCGCTAGCGTTTTTTCAAACACGACTATTTGCCGGAGTTAATGGATTCCGGACTATGAATTACATAGAATCGAGTCGAGAAAAAAAATGTTTTTTTCGAAAAATGTATAAACTCAAGTTTACTGTATAGTCGGTACTCTAGTTACTCCTGACACACTCTCGGGGAATAGGTACATTTTTATTCTAAAATCTCATCAAGATATTTTATGGAAGCGATCGCGTTTCTCAGCCGATAAGTTGCGATTCAATTAATCAAGACAGCAGGTGAAAAATGAATTCGTAATCGATGTATAGGTGAGTCGCAGCTGCGTGCGCGCCTGCCTCGATAAGGTTAATTTATAATTTCAATCGTTCCCGTGGAGAACTGCGCGCGTTTCTACTTGCTGCTAATTTCGCAAAACAAAGCTCGCATTGTTTGTCACCCATGGAGTGAACAACAGCACTACATTATAGCTTTTATATAGCCAACTGCGCGACACAGATCTCCATTCGTTGAAATGATTAATTTAGCCAGCAGTGGAAATAATACCTGCAGGTGCTTACGCGTATAAGACCGACATTTTATGGCAAGCGAGTATAGGCATTAATTATTTTCAGACAATGCAGGGGGGACGGTGGTTTGTTTGTCATTGCATCCTTGCGCGTATCCTTATACACACGAGCAGGCGTCTGACGCTATCGTGACTTGGTTCATTGCCGGAAAATCGGAGCATTTCTAGCACGCGCGCTCATGCGCACAATGAATCGAGAAGTGAAATGGAGATGCACACACGTGCGCGCGCGCGCGCGCGTGGCGTAAACATACGCTCGAAAAAGGAAAAAAAGAGTCGTCCGCGTCTTGGCAGCGAGTCGAGCGAGGAGCTGCTGCGCGCCGAGCAGAGGGCGCAGAGAAAGAGGAGTATTTCGAGCGTAGTCAGCGTTATTCCAGCCACGTATCGCGGCCTTCCTCATTAAGCCGGAACTTGCTTTTTTTTCACTGCAGCCCGTGTACATTTCTTCCTTTCGATCTGCGCTTCTCTGCGTGTTTGTGCCACTCGCATACACATACGTCTCTATATAAACACGAGGGCTATAAATGTGCAAGCACACACATACACATAGATATGCAATGTAAAGCGAGAAGTTGGATGTATTCCGTATGCTATTTGCGGCGGTCGTACTGCGGTCTCGACGGCATCCTGTACACGCTTACATATACTACGTCTCTATAATGCGCGCACATATGCATGCTACACGCTAAAGGAGCCAGCGATATATGCGGTATCGCATGTATGAGAGAGAGAGAGAAATAGCTCTCAATCGATTGCTGCTTGCCACAGACATACACAATGAGCACACCGAGCTGTGTCTCTACATATATATGTACACACACATACGTATACACTCGTGCAAATGTGTGTATTGAGCAGTCCGAGCGATTTTGAGTCAACGAGCGTCGCCTCGTGCACGCGGACCACTGCGGCTTTTATCCTGCTTCACATATATAGATATCTACTATCCTGTACTCGTCGCTCGCTGCCTTTTCTGCAGTTCAATCCTATTATATGCCGCGCAGCTAGAGCTCCACGATAGCAAAGAATCGATACGTATATGCTTCGAGATCAGGAGTGTCAACCTAGTCAGCGAGATAGATCGCACACCTGAACTTATGCATCATAGATTGAACTCGTGTCGTTTATTCCGCTGCTGCGTTTTGATCGATGAATCGTGCAGTATAGGACGCTTACAATCGCGTGTATCAGGAAAAATCTCTGTAGCTCAAAAGCACCTACAGCTGACGTGACATTATCGAAAAGCATTTAATTATATAGGTTAAAAACAATCCTGCACCGCTGACAACTGTCATGTATTTCTCTGAAGCAAAAAAATGAAAGAATTTAAGTATCACTCGCAAATTCACTTGGGCTTAAGTCGTTTAGCTAAAATCACCTGCAAGGACTTTTTTCTCATTTTTCAACCGCTGAGCTTTATTTTCGGTAGCTAATCTCGACGCAATTTATTCGTCATTTGAAAGCTCACAAGACTTGTTTAAATCAGATAAATAATCAACTGCTGACCAAGCTTGTTAGAAATTTAATAGCCAAAGTACAGGGCATTATAGGTCAGAAGTATGCTGAAATTGCGAACGAAGGCAAAAGCGAGTCTAATCTAACTTTCGGACCATCAAAGTAAACCTTGCAATCCAGCTGATGACTGCTTCTCTGTAACTGCTTGCGACTCCTACTCAAATGAAGTAAAAAAAGAGAGCGTCCAATTGGAAATGTGTCTGCGCTGCCTCTCTATTCATGATCAACCTACCCTTTTCAAGTCGTTAACACTTGTAATGCTTCTTGAACCATCAACTCACACCTGTTACAGTGTTGACTACCTACTATGTACTGCCATAGTTTATAATATTAATAATTTAGATGATTACCTAATTTCAACGACTAATAAAAACTTTTGCGCATATTGATGGCGTTGCAGCAGTATTATCTGTTTTGTTGTATCGTGGTCGATCATTATCATTGTTTGGATAGAAATATTGAAAAGTGAATTTGAAACGCTAATACTGAAACGCACATACTCGGGGGAGGGTGATAAACGAGGTAATAAAGAGCACCGAAAACCATTACCCGAAAGCTATAGATCTGCATTTACTGCTTGGTTTATCGAGGAAATATGGATTTTCGATGAGGAATAAACGATTTTTCAAAGCACCCAGAAGTTTATGTTTTCTCCATTTGATGCGCCCGTGTGCATGGCATCCGGTTGATAAGTCGACGCGCGGTCGAGATTCATGCGTGCAAGTTCAATGCGGTGTGTCATATATACCGCGCTCATAAAGCTCCTTGGCTTCCGAGCTTTTTTCTATGCCCTTTCGTTGTTGTTGCTTTACATCCAGTCGTGTAATGGCAATGCGTGCGTGTGGACTGCGCCTTTCGTACGTGGACTGGAAAATTGAATAACAGCACACTCGCGAGCGTCAGGTCAGCCGCCGCTATCGATCTATTTGGTCTCTTGTGGCATCCATTCAGTTCATCCTCCCCCCNCCGAGGCGAGATCCCCCCCCCCCTCACTCTCTCTCTCTCTCTCTCTGACTCACTCCTGCAGTGCCAAACAGGTGGACCGTGGCGCTTTGTGTGTAATATGGCTGGATGCTATTGTTCGAACCCTATTTCTCTCTCTCGTTCTCTCGGTTATTTCGATACACTTTCCAGGCCAGTGCAACAGCAGCAGCGGCAGTAGCAACGAGAGAGAGCTTTTATCTGGACGTTACCGCTTCGATTACCTAAACGCCGCCGTGTGTGTGTGTATACATGTACGCGGAGCCGAGTCATCTGTTAACTTTAGCACCTTTTCGTGTCGTTCGCGTGCAGTGTGCGACGTACGTTTATTTTTTGCACTGTCGACCAATGCCTTTAGCCGCGCACGGAATCAAATCACCGAAAGTGGTTTTCCACGAATCGACCTACACTCTAAATGTAAAGTTTGACAAATCTCTGTCTAACCGTTTTGCCAATAGTGTTTACTGAGATTTACAATTGTTCGAGGAAATAGTTGACATTCGTCTCCAATTTTCATGAATATTGTTTATAAAATTCGAGTCACTCAGTGATGCGAGAATATAGTTTTGATTTTTACACAACCTCTTGTGGATGAACTTTTTTATACACTTTCTCTTAATGTCTCAAAGTTGTAAACATTTCTATTCGGATCACACCTCACATAAACTGAAATGCAGATGTATGACTTTGAAATAAGTATGATCTTGCATGTATGCAAGTTAAGTGGTGGATCAACACATGCACAAAAATGCTGAGCTCGTGATGCGAATATTTTTCCGCGCGCGTGCAGAGTTACGTGTTAAGAATTTGTTAGGTGTTAAGAATCTACGTACGAACTTAGGGAGGTGACATTTGTTTAGCAATTCACATTCGAAAAGAAATATATCATTCAACAAATACGCGAGCTCAATACAGAATATTCATGACACTTATTTTGTGTCTCTTATTTACGATGGAAAGTTTATTTTTTTACATACCTTTCAAAAGTTTCTTTTACACAAAATTACTTTTTCGCCGCTGTACATCTGCAGAATACACGATTTATCTTGTACCTAAAATTTTAGTCTACGACATAAGTTTTTAAAATATTTATTTCAAAAGTAAGTTTGATAAAACTTCACTTCATTTAACCTTTTACTCTTTTTCTTTATTGCAGTTAATTCAAAACGAAAATGGGTTGCTTCGGAAGCAAAGATAAGTTGAGCAAGGAAGACATGGACTTTCTCAAGTCGCATACAAGATACGATGAAGCAACTATTAAAGATTGGTACAAAGGATTCAAAGTGAGTTCAATCTTTCATTACAGACTTTGTTAATTTCTCAGAGTAGGCTTATTAACTGTTTAATTTTAATTTTCAATGCTCTTAGAATATACTTAAAGACGTATTACGTTTTTAATGAGAACAAACTAAGCCAACATACGATTTCGCTTAATGATATTAAAATTATATTTTTCCTGATATATCTAATATAAAGTCTACTAACTTTTAAAAAAGAATGACCTTGACATTGTTCGAAAAATTTTCCTTATTTATCTCCAGGAATGAAAAATATTGTGACCTGGAATGCCTAATACCGCTAAAGCCTGTGGTATTTTTATAAATCATGTGAAATTCTATTTCGATGTAGTTGATCAGCAAATAAAAAATTAAAACTTCAAATGATTATTATTTGAAAAGACGGTATGCTTCTCAAGAAACTTTAAACCTGATTACTGCTCAAAATTTTGAGAACGAGCTGTACAAAAGTGAAAAATTTAGCATGAGCTCTTACGGAGAATTTGAGGAATTTATGCTATAAAGTATCATAACTCATTTTAAAAAACTGCTAATCGCAATAAAAACAACTGCAAACATATTCTAAAACCTATTAAAGTTAATTTCATTTAATGAAGTTACTGCAGTAATTAAATCTGATTTAATACTTTTTATACGCTTTTTAACTCGAGCGTTTGCAATTAAAGATGAGCGCGCAGGTGTAGCAGCCTAAAGATACAATGACACTGTGAGTCAAGCGAGCTAGCTATACAAGCCGAATACCTTAAATTTTTTAAAAATTTTACACGATACTTGTGTAACACGCTGTTATACGAGCTTTCACGCGGTACAACAAAACTGAGTTGAACAAAAATTTTCTTAAGGCTTTTTTCCAATTTAATGTCGCGTATGAAAAAGAATCGATCGATTTTATCAGTCAAGAGTAAAAATTTAAATCGAAGGTACTTTTACCCTCGACAAGAAAAAATGTACTTGCTCCATTTTTCGAGATATTACGTCTTTTCACGTGCAACTGCACAACAACGGAGAAAACGCGCAAAATTTCAAGCTCGGAAAATGCCCGAAAAAAAGGGATGCTCAGCTCAGCTCAAGCTCGTCGTCGCCGTTGTTGTCATCGGGCGGTGTACACGTATTTATACGACGGAGCGAGCTTGAATAAAATAGGGGTCTAAATGGCATCTAGAATATATGTATACCATATCGTGCCGGCAGGTATCATTGTGTACAATGTGCATCTGCAAGCCCAGAGCTCGCTCTCTGTAGCATGTGCACATAAGCAAAACTGGAACGTGAGCGTCTGCGCATTCAAGTGCTGCTGCTGCTGCTACCACGACGACGGACTCTTTTGTGACTGGCGCTCACAACCTCTGCACGCGCAACTCTATATCTCTTTTCTCTTACTGATTTCGCGCTGTGTCATTTGCTTATCTTTCGGTATTATCTTCTCAAGTTCGTTTTGCATTATTGCGAAGCTTTCTGTATGAAAAACTTTCTCGCCTTTCTCGTTTGTTGTTTGCGAGCTCTCTCTTTCTCTCCAGCGACACGTAGAGTTGACTTAATGCTTTCTCTGTTGAGCGTGTAAAGCGTTACGAGCTTTTGCATCGGTTAAAACTGATTGAAATGTTTATGCGTGCCAGCACTGCATTATATAGTCGCCTCTGGGCGACCACCGCCGTCTCCTGTGACTACTCGCATTCGTAACGCATCGAAAGTTATATCAGATAGTTTCAATTAGTTTGAATTTATCTAATTACTCGAAATCATATTAATTTGCAACTTTTAATTGAAAATGCGCGAGTTTTCCACTGCACGCATGTGTTTATAATTAATTAAAACAAAGTTTCATTGCGTTTATATATATATATATATATTGACCACTAAAAGTTCATCCTTAAACCTCTGTCATGTCGTTACATGCCTTTCGCTCGTCGTGCTTACATTACAAATTTTCTTCTTCGTCAACCTGACGTTGCCCGTGTACCCCACATTATGTCCCACGTTTACCTTGCATTTTAATTATTTTCAAATGTAGGTCGATTTTTCCTCTTAATTACTTTATTATCAGGCTGTATATTTGTGCAATGTAGCGTGTTAACAGACCGTTTGTTGTTAAATCAAAAAAGTCGATTAAATGTAAATGATTAATTAAGAAGCACTCAAGATACCACCTACATATATTTTTACCGAAAATTCAATCAATGACTTTGAAAGTATACAGACTTAAAAAAAGTATGCAGAGCAATTTAAGAAGTTAGCCTGTAGTACCATTTATTACCAGGGTCTTGAAGAGCAGTAAAAAAGATACAGTTTATGAAGATACCTCTCTCTCTCTCTCTTTCTCATTCATCTTGTTTTCACTCGATGCAATTCCGTAAGTAGTACGGTCTGTGTAGGCTGCGGCATACTTGTTTCTTCTCGACTCTTATTTAGAACCAAGTTTTTTCCTCCCATAAAGTTCAGTAGTGCCTCTGAGCGTGGGTCATAATTTTTAAAACTGCATTTTAACATTTTTGTACTTTTTTTTTGTAACTTTTATGCAATACGTTAAGGAAGGCGTTAGCTGTAATGGCCACGTCCGGTCTAAAATTAGATTAAAAGTCCAAAAGCTCAGTTGCTCTTTGCAACCTTAAGAGATCGCTGCAAACTAAGATGCATTTTTAAAGCGAATCTCAAAATTGAATCACGTATATAATATTCCTTGTGTCGCACTTACTCGTGGGTCGACTAAACTACATTTCCACGGCAAAACCGTAAGTTCGCCGTGTGACGGTGTATATACGTATTTGTTGGTTTTTCTTGCTCGTGCGCGGTTTATTAAATTGCGCGAGATGACACAACGGAATATGTGTGCTTTCATACTTTTATATGGACATGAGCTGACGTTTCTTCCATATAAACTACGGATAATATATTTCCGGTGCATAAACTTTTCATAGAGCCAACACTTGCCACGTGCCCACAAATATAAGTTAAAACTTTGGTTACGACATTCTCCGGAGAACTTGCTTATCTTTCAAATTAAATTAAATTATAGAGACATTTTTTGTCATATAATGTTAGAAATATTATACACTCGGCAACAAAATTATCGCAACAAAAAAATTCATCGAAATTTTGTCGATTTTCAAATGCTTCTATCTTGGGCTAGATTTATCGTATCGACACGCTTTTTTTTTTAATTTCTTGGAAATTTTGTCCTCTTTAAATCCATATAAATTAAGATAAGATTTGAGTCAATGTTGAGTTACCAGTAGTATTTGAGCGTGACCCTAAAAATTACTGAAAAAAAATGACTGTTTGAACGTGTACCAGTACCACAGTGATTTTTTTATCGAAATCTAACATACACCATCGCAAAGTGCTCTTTTTAACGAGTAATTCAAAAAAAAAAAAGACCTCTCTACGATTTTTTTAACGCCATGTAGGTCGATTTGAAGGTACGGTTTATGTACGCATAATGCCCAGAAAATCGTCTTGATTTCAGGTAAACGGGGGATTTTACGTACTTTAAATGGTATCTTCAAATCGACCTACATGGCGTTAAAAAAATCGTAGAGAGGTCTTTTTTTTTTTAAATTACTCGTTAAAAAGAGCACTTTGCGATGGTGTATGTTAGATTTCGATAAAAAAATCACTGTGGTACTGGTACACGTTCAAACAGTGATTTTTTTTCAGTAATTTTTATGGTCACGCTCAAATACTACTGGTAACTCAACATTGACTCAAATCTTATCTTAATTTATATGGGTTTAAAGAGGACAAAATTTCCAAGAAATTAAAAAAAAAAAGCGTGTCGATACGATAAATCTAGCCCAAGATAGAAGCATTTGAAAATCGACAAAATTTCGATGAATTTTTTTGTTGCGATAATTTTGTTGCCGAGTGTATATAAAATATATTAAAATTGAATTGAAATGGTAAATTGCAAATTGAATAATAGATACTTTATGACGTATAAAAACGTTATTCGTGTCATACGGTATTAATGATTAATGTTGCATAATTGAATAAAAAAAGTATAGTAAACGTCCGCATTGATACAGGTGGATTACTCTCCCGTTAAATGGCATTTGCGCTAGAAGTAATCCGCTTTATAACGCAAAAACGAGACGAGGAATCATAAAATTACATTACGCTGCCTGTGCACCCTTTGAACTTGGAGTTGCTGCGACGAGAAATCCGACTTATGCCCTCCTTCTTCTGCAAAGACGTGCGTGCGTGTGGAATAACTGATTTTATTCGTCCTCGCGGAACTTGCGGACACGCGCTTGTGCACGTGAAATCCCTACTGCTTCTGGCGCGTTCACAGGGCCTTTAGATCTCTCTCATTTGTGTGCAGGCTTGCTCGTAAAGCAAGTAGCTGAAAATTCATTAAATTATGTTCGCAGCTTAGATCGAATGAGAATCCAATCAAATTATATAAGTCTGAAATTGCGCGTCTTTATTATTACAATAAATGCAATTTAGGGTGGATCGTAGAAATTTCCCATTTTCTGTGTTCTTTGTTTAACTCAAAAATAGGTGAATTATTAAACAAATTTGAGAATTTTGTATATAGTTTTTATCACATTGCAGATTACTTTAATGTAATGAATCTCGCAGTTCGGAGTATCCTCACACTCGGCGCTATATCAGCTTACATTCCCTGACCACCGCTACTTTGTTTACAGCCAAGGGTGTCATTCTTATTGTTCTTGTCGCTGTGATTGTGATGCACTGCGGGTGGACGTATATATATGTACGTTCGTTATCCTGCACAGTCGATGCTTTATAATGAAGCAGCGGTAGCCAGCGAACTCGCGCACTCCGATGAATTGGAAACGAGGTCTTTGTGGTCACTCTGTAGTTTCAAATTACTTTAAAGAGTTTTTTCCCCTCGTTTGCGCGTGCACACACATACACGCACGCAGAATGAAATGTGCGACTGGTTTCATTAGTGTCATAGTAACTTTCGCTGTAGCATAATTATGCGCAGTATTTAACAGCGACACAATTCAATTAATTAA